GGTCATCAAGTCCAGCCCCCTGCATTCAGTAGCAGGACCAAGTACTGGTTTGAGAGCCTGGGAGGGAGGGGGAGATCCCGAGCGGCCGCGGCGCGCGAAACAGCTGATTCGCGCGCCGCTGCTCCCCCTCCCTCCCAGGCTTGAGAGCCTGGGGGGAGGAGGCAGGGCTGGGGATTTGGGGAAGGGGCTAAGTTGAGGCGGGGCCGGGGGTGGGGTAATTAAAAAACGGTGGGGCGGGCGGCCAAAATTGTTTTAGCTTGGGGCGGCAAAAATCCTAGAGCCGGCCCTGACTATTGAGTTTTTTATTTTAATAGCCTCTCTAAGCCCTGAGCATTTCACAGTCACTATCACCATCCTGGTCAGGTGGTCAGTATTATATCCCTACTGCTATATTCTTATTATTAGAGCATGGAATTTCAGTCTATAGAGATTTTATAGTACAGTTTGGTTCATTTAAGATTTTTACTTCATTTGATTCTATGCTTTCTTTCACATATAATGCCACTCCCCCACCAGAATGACCTGTTCTGTCCTTCTGATATATTTTGCACCCTAGTATTACTATGTCCCATTGATTATCCTCATTCCACCAAGTTTCTGTTATGCATATTATATCAACATCCTCATTTAATATGAGGCACTGTAGTTCACCCATCTTATTATTTAGACTTCTAGCATTGGTATACGAGCACTTTAAAAACTTGTCACTTTTTAGCTGTCTGCCATTACATGATGTAATTAACTGGGACTTTTTTCATATGACTGTTTCTCATCAGATCCTACCTGTATTTTTTCATCTTCCATCCTCTCCTCCTTACTAGGACATAGAGAAGTTCCATTAATAGATCCTCCCCTAAGGGATGTCCGAACCACGTGCTCCTCTGCACCCATCAGATTTCCCACAGCCCTTAGTTTAAAAACTTTTTTAATTTTAAGTGCCAGCAATCTGGTTCCATTTTGGTTTAGATGGAGCCCATCCTTCTTGTATAGGCTCCCCCTTTCCCAAAAGTTTACCCAGTTCCTAATAAATCTAAACCCATCCTCCCTACACCATCGTCCCATGCACACATTGAAACCCTGCAGTTCTGCCTGTCTAACTGGCCCCGTGCGTCGAACTGGAAGCATTTCAGAGAATGCTCCCATGGAAGTCCTGGACATCAGTCTCTTACCTAGCAGCCTAAATTTGGCCACCAGGAACTCTCTCCTATCCTTCCCTGTGTCTTTGGTACCTACATGTACTATGCCCACCAGCTCTTCCCCAGCACTACACATAAGTCTATCTAGATGTCTTGAGAGATCCGCAACCTTCGCACCAGGCGGGAAAGTCATCATGCGGTGCTCCCAGTCATTGCAAACCCAGCTATCTTTGTTTCTAGTGATCGACTCACTCATTACTAATACCTGTCTCTTCCTAATAACTGGCGTTCCCTCCCCCGGAGAGGTATCATCAGTGCAAGAGATTACCACAACATCATCTGGAAGGAGGGTGTGATGTTGCACTCCATGTTTTATGGAAATATGCTTATGAGTGTGAATATGATGTAACTGAAATATGCTTTATGCAAAAGGTCTCTTGTAAGGTATAATTACAAAGTTTATAATCTACTGAGTGTGTTCATCCTATTTGTTTGCATATATTATTTCTATGTCTGGAGTTAGGAGAATAAGATATAAATTTGTATTACTGATGTAAACATATTAAGTGGAAGCCATTAAGGGTGGTTCAGAATCAATGACCTGTAAATGGCTCTGTTTACTTGCAAACCTTCCTGGGTAAGTGCAGGCCAGCCCTGAAAGAATGGAGGCTCGGGTCTCACAGGGTATGTGAACATGTCACCTGATACTGAAATCCATCTTAAACCTGGTGCTTTTCCATTTAGAAGTAGGGGTAGGGACCCAGAGAGACAAAAAAATTCCCGCCTTGTGCCAAAGCTATAACGGTGGGAACAGAACAAAGGAGGCTGCCAGTCAAGAGAAAACCCCTAGTTTCCACCTAAGATGTCTGCTGGAACTAACAAGGACTGTACCAGGGGAAAGGATTGGGCCCAGACTAGAAAGGAGTCTAGTCTGTGAAAGAAGCTTATTGGAACATCTCTGAGGGTGAGATTTTACCTGTAATTAGTTTCTTAATGTATTAGGCTTAGACTTGCGTGTTTTTGTTTTATTTTGCTTGGTGACTTACTTTGTTCTGTCTGTTATTACTTGAAACCACTTAAAATCCTACTTTTTGTACTTAATAATATCACTTCTCTTTCTACTTTGCAACACTGCAATTGCTGTGGTAAAAGCAGGCAAAGCTCTGGGGAAAACACTGCATTGGCTGGAAATTGCACCCAGACCAACTGCTTAGAAGGTAGTCATGTTAACCACTACACCACCAATGCGGCTTTGCTGGGTGTCTTCATGACTCAAGAATGCACACTACCTAGAACCTGTTTTCAGCCTTCAGTCGTCTACACTGCTGTGTTTTCACTTTCCCCCAGAGGGTAGAGGCAAGTCCCCCTGGAGGGTCTGGTGGCTGGCTCCAAGCAGGATGGCTGCCATCTGCTCCAGGGACAGTCTCGGGTGGGGACTTTGACTGGGACTTTGCACTGGCCAAATCCAAACATGGGTGTCTTCAGTTGAGCTCAGGGTGGACAGAAACCTTCTGTGGAGCAAAAGAGCTAAAGGTGGCTTCATCTTCACTCTGAATAGAGAGGGAGAAAATGGGGCCTGGGTGCCAAGCATAGCAGCTCCCTGGCTGCCATCTCCTGAAAATCAACCTTTGAGACAAGCCTCTGCCTTTTCTCACAACACCTGCACCCTAGAGGGAGGGGCTTCCCTGCTCCTCCTGTGGGGAGGGTGATCCAGGTGGGAGGGTCCAGGTGCCAGAGGCAGGCATGGCCACTCTGATGGAAGGAGGAGTCCAGCTGGCGGAGGAGGTGGGCAGGGCGATCCTGGAAGGAGGAGTGTCTGGCTGTGACATTCTGTACCTTGGGGGAGCGTACTGTAACCCCCATATTCCTCATTTTCATATAATCGTGATCTTACATATAAAGCATGCCTTGTAAGGTATCAGGGGAAAGGTTATGATCTGCTGAAAGTCGTTTCTCTATCCATATATGTATAGCAATAATGCATATGAAGTTATGAGAATTGTGTAGAATGGTTATCACTAAAACATGCTGTAAGTTGGGGGAATCAGCCAGATATTAGCTCACCAGAGGCAACAGCAAGGAAAATAACCAACGCCCGGGTGGGGTGTCAAATAACCCATCAACAGCCATTGTCCAGCAAGGGAGCTACAATGCAATGACTCACCTGCATGAGGTCACACCAGGGGAATTGCTCAACCTTGCTTGGAGAGACTCAGCAATGCCCCCCAGACATGCTTGGACTTGTGCTCCCAAAGCACATGGACTGAGGGTATAAAACAGACAGAGTGGACACATATTTGGCCCTTCTCCTGCCCCACCTTTGCTGCAAGCAACTAAGACACTGAGAAGAAGACAAGACTCCAACACAGGAGATTGGCCCAGGTTTATGGAACAAACCTGTATGTTAAGGACTGCAACATCCAGTGGGGTGAGAAAAACTGCTTAGTCTAGTTGTTGACCAGTCTAATAGGGTTGAGAGTTTAGACTGTGTGCTTATATTTTCTTTTCTTTTGGTAACCACTCTGACTTTTTGCCTATCGCTTATAATCACTTAAAATCTATCTTTGTAGTTAATAAATTTGTTTGTTTATTCTACCTGAAGCAGTGCGTTTGGTTTGAAGTGTGTCAGAGACTCCCCTTGGGATAACAAGCCTGGTACATATCAATTTCTTTGTTAAATTGACGAACTCATATGAGCTTGCAGCGTCCAGTGGGCATAACTGGACACTGCAAGATGGAGGTTCCTAGGGTTGTGTCTGGGACCAGAGATATTGGCTAGTGTCATTCGGTTGTACAATCCAAGGAGCAGCTTATATGCCAGAGACTGTGCATGAACAGCCCAGGAGTTGGGGTTCTCACAGCAGAGCAGGGTAAGGCTGGCTCCCAGAGTCAAGAATTGGTGTGACTTAGCAGATCACCAGTACAGATAACACCAGAGGGGAACGTCACACTGGCCACCTCCTCTCTTCCCCTCTCTGGGGTCCTGTGATGAGACAGTGGCTGAACTGGTCTGGGGCCCAAGGCATGAGCTGCTGGGCCAGGGACTAAGAGGCAGGGCTGCCAGCTCAGACCTTCGGATGCAAGAGGTTGACCTGCTGGCCTCAATTTTTCCGACCCAGGTTTCCTCCTCAAATGGAGCCCAGCGGGGCCCATGGTCCCCTACAGGAGGCTTAAACGTCAGCCTCTTCAGTGTGAGGCCAAGGATTGCTGGACCCTGTCTGCCCATCGCTCAGGGGCAGCGCCCCAACCCCTCTAAGGACAGAAGAGGGCACCCAGATGGGCCGGAAAGAAGCAGCCGCAGAAGGCTTGTGGCAGGCCTCAGCCACTAGAAGGGAGATTTGGTTTCTTTTTCTACTCTCCATTTTTTCCTTAATACTCTAAGGGGGAAAGCCCACCTCCCAAGATGCAGGCAGAGGCTTCTACCTCCTGGTAGCCAGGGATGCCTTTCTGCCCTTGTCTTGGCCCCCTGGGGGCACTCAAGTAGCTGCCTATTCTGTAAAAGGTGCAATGGCAGCCAGAGTGACTCTGGTGGGATTTGAATCATTGTCTTAACCCAGGCAAAGCACTGTTTCTCAGAAGTCCAACACACTATCCATTGCACAGCAAGTGACCTCCTCTCCTCTCTCTACTTTGCAACACTGCAATTGCTGAAGTAAAGGAAGGGGAAGAGCTCAGGAAAACCCTGCCCTGGCTGTGAATTGAACCCAGATGAACAGCTTGGAAAGCAGTTATGTTAACTGCTACTCCACCAATGCTACCCTCCTGAAGGCCCTCAGAGCCCCAGAAGATGCATTACTTAGAACCTCTCTTCAGCCAGAATGCAGCAGAAATGGCTCTGGAGGGTTTTGAGTCGTCAACACTGCTGGTTTTTTCACTTCCCCCCCTCAGGGGCTCTGGCGGCTGGTTCCAAGCAATCGACGCAGGCCGGCTGCCGCCTGCTCAGGGGACAGCGTCATGGGGGGACTTTGACTGGGCGCTACACTGGACAAATCCTAGCCCAGGTGTCCTAAGGCCAGCTCAAGGTGTACAGAAACATTCCACAGAGCAGAAGGGCTTAAGCTGGCTTCATCTTCTTCTTCTTCACTCTCAATAGAGATGAGGCCTTGGTGCCAAGCACAGAAGCTCCCTGGCTGCCATCTCCTGAAAATCAGCCTTTGAGACAAGCCTTTGCCTTTTCCCCCTAAGACCTGTGCTCTAGAGGGCCCCTCCAGAAGGTTGGGAAAGGGCCCCACAGAGCCTGGCGCAGGTGGTTTCCCTGCTCGGGAGGTGGGGAGGGTGATCCCGGCGTGAGGGTCCAGGTGCCAGGAGCAGGCACGGCTACTCTGGCAGGAGGATGGCCCATCTGGCAGAGGAGGTGGGCAGGGTGAGCCTGGTGGGAGGAGTGTCTGGCCACCCCCTCTCTTCCCCTCTCTGGGGTCCTGGGATGAGCCGGTGACCCAATAGGCCTGAGGCCCAGGGCTACGGGCCTGCCACCCACTGTAGCTGACTCCTCCACTCATGGGAGCACCGGTCTGAGCTGCTTGGCTTGGGACTATGGGGCAGGGCCTCCAGCTCAGCCCTTTGTGCTCAAGAGGTTGACCTGCTGGCCGCAATTCTTTCTAGCCAAGGTTTCCTCCTCAAATGGAGCCCAGCAGTGCCTGTTTTCCCCAGCAGGAGAAGCCACACAAGAAAGCTGAAGACTCCAGCTGCAGCAGCAGGTGGGGAGGTTTAAGAGTCAACACCTCAAGTTAGGGGGGAGGCTTAAACGTCGGCGTCTTCAGTGTGAGGCCAGGGATTGTTGGATCCCATCTGCCCACTGCTCAGGGTCAGCGCCCCAACCCCTCTAAGGACAGAAGGGGGCATCCAGAGGGGCCGGAAAGAAGCAGCCGCAGAAGGCTTGTGGCAGGCCTCAGCCATTGGAAGGCGACTTTGCTTTCTTTTTCTCCTCCCCTTTTTTGCCTTTATACTCTGGGGGTGAAAGCACACCTCCCCTCTGATATACCCGATTCAGAATCCAGACTGATGAGTAGCTATGTTACCCCTGCCATCTACCCTAGGGGTACCTTTACACAGCTTTGTTGCTGTCACCTCCAGTCTGGACTGCTCACAGACAGTCTCCAGGATGCAAGTCACTCCCAGCTATGTCTGTGTGCCTGCTGCAACCAACCAGCCACACCTTGGCTCTTACCAGCCTGGGTTATATTGGAAGAAGTTGATGCCAATGCACCCCTAGTCCTAGATTTCCCCCAAAAAATATATGTCCTGTACTGCACTGCCTTCTCCTGGGCAATACAAGCGTATATAAAATCCATTATTTTATTAAGAGAAATGATATGTACACATCTTGTTACCCCAAATGGAGTTTCCTGGACACTTTGATTTAAGCACACTGGATTACAGAAAACAACAAAAAAAGTTTATTAAGCACAAAGTGCTAGATGCTAAGTGAATACAAGTAATGAGACATAAAAAGTCAGAAATGGTTACCAGAAAAATAAAGATAAAATGCAACTGGTGCCTAACTTAACAAACTACATTAAATTCAAAGCAAAGGTTTTCTCACCACAAGCTCTGAGCAGTCCTTAGGTTTGGACCTCTGCTCCTCTTTAATGGTTGCTTCCTTTCTTCCTTCTGGTGTAGTGAATCAATGGACAGAGACAGGAAGAGGTGGGGGTACCTTAGGGTGTTTGTACCCCTTTTTATAGTGTCAGTTCCCGCCTTGGAAAACATTTCCAGATGAGATTCAGGAGACAGAGTCTATAAGAAAGGGTGTTCCCTGCTGCTTTCCTCACCTGTTAGAGGTTTCTTTGTCTACCCTTCCTGCTTGATGATTCTGTTTACTGCTTCAATACAAATTAAGCAGGGCACAGATTTCAGAGCTGTTTGCCATGCTCAGCTTGGAACATGTGTTAATAACAACATACAGTGGAATCTTATAACTTCAAATACAGTATCGCCACACACATTTTAGCAGGACAATAATGAGCAGCAAATTATGAATTTTCAAACAATACCTTACAAGACATCCTTTATACAAAGATTATTGCAATCATGTGTAAGGTGTGGACACAGGGGCGCACTCTGTCGCTGACCCCAGGTCTGCAATCCTGACTCTTCAAGGAAAAATCCTATGCAAACCAGTGAGGGTTTTTGTTTTGTTTTTTTGGACAATTGTAATGTCACGTCCCCCCAAAAAAATATTATACCTGTGACTAACAATTTTTTTTTCAAGAATTCTCATATGAATGGCCATACTAGGTCAGACCAAA